ATTGTCCATCATAAAGATGTCAGATCCGTCTTGAAACACTTTTGATGACCAGATATCATCATGTGGCCGACAAACATACACACAATAGGCTCCTCTCCTCTCCTCTCCTCTCCTCTCCTCTCCTCTCCTCTTCTACTCATGCATGGATAAAACCCATGATACGGTAGAATGATGGAACGGCAGCTGGATAGTGCTGCTTATGCTCAGAAATCGACATGCGGCCATCGGATTAGGTGCATTGTCCATCACAAGTTGTCAGATCCGTCTTGAAACACTTTTGATGACCAGATATCATCATTTGGCCGGCTAGACACACGCACGCACACACGCACACACACAGAAACAAACACATACCTTCCTCTCTCCATCCGTCATGCAGGTAACGAGTTTTGAGACGGCTCAAAACCCACTCCCCACTGACATAAATGTGCATCGTGGCGCTATTTTGGGGTAGGCGGGATGTGTGAGCTTCTAACATGGATAGAATAAAAAGCTTTTTATTCTACGCGGGACGGGATGGGAGAGAATAAAAAGCTGATTCTGGTGCTCGTTTGAGAGTGATAAATAGCGCAGAAGGATAGAATGGGACGCACGAATGATGATAGCACAGACAGGAGGAGGAGGAGAGGGACGCGGACAGGAGGAAAGAGAGGAAGCGGGAATGCATGACGGCATGCATGCGTGCATGCATGACGGCATGCATGCATGCGGCAAGGTCATAGACGTGCGTGCTCATACATATCATGCGAGAGAGATATGCGCGGCCATCGGAGTAGGTGCATTGTCCATCACAAGATGTCAGATCCGTCTTGAAACACTTTTGATGACCAGATATCATCATGTGGCCGACACAGACGTACATACGCACAAGAGCCTTCCTATCCTCTCCGCTCCTCTATTTTCATCGAGACAAGGAACGGGCAAGGGACGAGAGGGGGCAGAGCGCGAGAGAGGGAGCAGGGGCAGGGGGCAAGAGAGACCACATCTCTCTGCGTCTGAGAGAGAGAAGCAGGAAGGGCAACTCACGCGACGTCGACGACCACATCTTTCTCTTGTGGTGCGAGCGCCATGACTGGCAGGAACGACGCCGCGCTCTGCAGCTGATGGGGGGGCGGCGGAGAGCGGGGGAGAGAGGAGCGAGAAAGAGGAGTGAGGGTGGAGTGAGAGAGGAGCGAGGGAGGACGGAAGGAGAGATGGCAATGATACAAGAAAAATTTTACAAGACACGAGCTGGTGTCATCAGCGGACGGAATGCACTACAGACGAGCAGCGATGGACGACGAACAGAGGCTGCAAAGCGAGCACACGCACGCCTTAGGCCACAGCACCACACAGAACAGCACAGAAGAGAACCGCACCGCACTGCACAGCACCACAGCATACCATGTAGTGCCCTGCCATGTACTCGGGTGTTGCTCCCACCGGCACTTGCGATTCGTACACCACCAGGCCCACCTGGGACGGGGACGACGGGACGAGAGGGGAAAAGAGAAGTGAAGAGAGGTGAGAGGTGAACGCGGGGGGAGAGGGTGTGTGCGTGCGCGGAGGAGAGTGGGCAATAGGAGGTGAAAAGGGAGAGACAGCGACGAAACGAGATTGCAAGAACCTAGACCTCCAATCAGGAAACCCAAACACTGACGGGGATAACCAGGGGAGAGCGGAAGAGAGATGGAAAGACAATCGGAAAGGGGAAAAAAAAAAAAAACAACAACAACCCTTTCTAATAAACGAAAAGAAAACGGGACAAGGAGAGGGAGGCAGGGTGTGAGGAACGGGGTAAGCCGGGGAAGGCGTGGGGAGGGAGGGCGGGTATGTTTAGCATCCACGTTGCGCATGCGCAGGACTTACCATGCTCCAGGGCCCGAGCGGGTCTAGGTTGACACCGCGGGGGGCGTATGGCCAAAACCCGCGCTCAACAGCTCAACAATCGGGGGAGAGGGCGGAGGGCGGAGGGAGGACTGACCTTGCTCCAGGGCCCGAGCGGGTCGAGGTTGACGCCACGGTTGATGAGCGCAGCAGCGAGCTCCCTGCGGCGCGCCTTGATGGTGTTGGTTCGGATGGTCACCGGGCGCGGCTTCTCACTCGCCTCCAGAAACTCCATCACCTCCGCCACTGGGAACATCTGTACGGGGGGGGGGGGAGAGGGGAGAAGAGGGGAGAAGAGGGGAGAAGAGGGGAGAAGAGGGGAGAAAAGGGGAGAATTGGGGAGAGATGGGAGAGTGAAGGAATTGAGAGTGAGGGATGGAGAAGGGAAGCTGCGCCTCCAGAAACTCCATCACCTCCGCCACTGGGAACATCTGGGCGGGGGAGAAAGGAGCGGGGAAGGAGGGGGAGAAGAGAGGATAGGCGGGGGGGACAGGAGGGGCATAGGGGATAGGAACGGGGCGAGGGAGAGGGAGCTGGACCTATGCGCGAAGAAAGTAGCCTGTCTAAAACCCGAACCCCGAGAGTCAACATACCCCAAACCCCAAAATAACGCATAATCCCCACGCATTCGTGAAACTACCAGAACCAGAAGCCGAGAACCAGACCTTCTGGTGAAAAGACCACCAGAAGCCGAGAACCAGCTATTTATCCACATCAACAGCTTAAGCTTAAACCCCAGTCGCACGAGCTTCACTTAAACCCAGAATGCTGCTTCATAGGTTGAAGCCCACCAACCTGCATGAGCGCGTCCATGAGGAAGTCGTTGTAGCCGTAGAAGAGCGCCAGGTCCGCCGCCAGCTGCCGCACGTACGCCGCGCGCGGCACCGTCTCCGCGCGCAGCTTGGAGAAATTGCCCAGCACGCGCACGACTGGCGGGGGCGCGGGAGGGGGAGGGGGAGGAGGAGGGGGAGGGGGAGGGGGAGGGAAGGAAGGGGAGGGGGAGGGAGACGCGGGGGAGTTGGGCGTTTAGCGGAGGGAATCCGATCAGGGGATACGGGGAGGGTAGGAGAGAGGGTAGAGAAGGGGATCAGGTGGAGTATAAGAGGCGCCCGATAGAAACAAAGGGTTATAGCCATCATTGTCCTTCTCTTCCTCCACTATATGTCCTAACTTTGACACGAAAGAGGGAGTGAGCGCGGGCAGCCATCAGAGTAACTATGACATGAGTAGGGCCGGCATGAGAGGCAGCGAGAGTGCCTCTTTCGGCCAAAAGGGTGGCATCACGTGGCTGACACACAGTACGACAACTTTTGAGACGTCTCGAAAGGCTGGCACACAGCTCGACAAGAGAATTAAGACACAGCTAGTCTTACAAACGAGTCCTAAAGCTGGTAATAGAATGTGAAGGCACGACGATGTTCAAGCTTTTGCTTAAACCCCGAATCAAGGCACCGTGCGGAGATAGGTGACCAAACGGCGGGAACAGGCGACGCGACGGGAAGACGGCATGCAGGGAGACAGCGACAGGAACATACATGCAGTAGGCAGTTCAAGCGGATTGCAGTGGGAAAAGCCGGCTTACTGTCATTGATCCGCTTCTGAATGACCGATAGGTCTGGCGGTGCTGCTGCTTCCGCCTCCCTCTCCTGCTCCACGGGGACGCCGACAGGACAAGAAGAGGGCGAGGGAGAACAGGATTGAGACAATGGGTGTGAGACTTCGAGGTTGGGCCGATAGGAGAAAGCGCAGCAAGGGACACGAGGGGACAGGTCTGTCCCAGCAAGGAGAGGAGAAGTAAGACGGAGAGGCGACGAAACGAGGCATCTATTATCTGTCCCACCATATCACTCCACCCTCCCCGTCTATTACCCATCCCCCACCGCCCCCCGCCAACACCCCCCGCAAAACCCCCGGAAGCAGCCCGCAAACACCCCAAAACAGTCCACCAACACCCCCCAACAGCGCGCACCTCGTCGGTGGGCAGCAGCATCCCCACGTCCTCCCCGTCCTGTATGTTCAGCTGCAGCTCCGCCTCCGCGTCCTCCGCCTCCTGCGCTCTCCGCGCTTCGAGCTTCCGCGCCTTGCGCTCAAACGCCGTCTCCTCCTCCTCTTCCTCCTCGTCGTCTTCGTCCTCTTCTCCCTCCTCGTCCATTCCCTCGTCGTCGTCCTCGCCACCTGAAGATGAGCGTGGGAAAAGCAAGCAGATTCTACATTCGATGATTCCTAAAACAAAAGGCAACAGAAAGCAACCTGCAGAAACGGCGCAACATCGAATTTTGAGGAGCCTCAAAACGGCGTAAAACCATTGCAGCAGTAGCTCAGCTCGTGACAGAGAAGTGGACAGGCGCGAAACACGAAGGCACAGGCGAATGCGTTGCTACCGAACGCACACCATTCCCCACCTTCGAAGTCATCAGGCATAGCATCGTCATCATCTTCCTCGTCGTCGTCGAGCAAGTTCTTCTTCTTCACTTTCAACCACGACTGATTCTCGTCGCTGAACGCCCTCTCCTTCCCGCCGCCCGCCGCTTTAACATTGTCCTTCTCATCCGCCTCGTCCTCCTCCTCGTCATCATCTTCCTCCTCCCCTTCTTCCTCTTCCTCCTCCTCGTCCGCTAGGGCCAAAACCTTCCCCTTGCCAAAACCCTCGAGTTCCAATTTCTCTTCGATGTCCTCCTCCATCGCCGCCACCGCCTCTTCTTCCTCTTCCTGCTCCAATTTCGACATTCTTTTCGGCGCCTTCTTGCCAGAATCTCCGCTCTTCTGCGCTCCGGCCGTTCCCGCCTTTGCCCCTCCTCGTGCACCCCGACCCGCGCCTCCTTTACCCCCCCGAGGGGTATTCCCTGTCTTGGGGGACACTCCTAGGCCTTTACCGCCGCTTCCACCGCCGCCTTTTCCGCGCGCGGGCGACCCGCTTTGACGCCGCGCGGGCGTGACTGCCGCTGGCATTTCGGCCGGCGCGTCAGTATCGCGAGATTTGAAGGAGAACGCGAGGATGACAAGAACGAGGGACGAGTCGCAAGGTCGCAAAGAGTAATTACTTTCTGAGCCGCCTCAAATGTGCGTCTAGTGGTCGAAAACACGGGTCTTTGATTGGGTCACGAGATGCTCGAGTTATTGAAAAGGGACTGGGTTCAAGAAACAAACGAGAAGGAAGGGGACAGGCGGTGATTTATGGGGATGGGCGAAAGAGATGAGACTGGAAAGTTGAGAGGGAGGGTGAACTGGGTGGGGTTTGGGGGACAGCGCTGATGAGAATTTGGAATGTGGCCCCTTCGCGAGGGAACGACAAGCTGCGACATTTGCGACACGAAGGGGCAAGAGAAAAATATTTGCGACATTTGCACCTATCTCACTCACTGTTGCTTACATCTTTGGCATAGAATTTCACTTTATGTCAGCCACCTTGAATTATTTAAATGCTGCTATTGTTTGGCACAACAGCCCTTGATGTCACACAATCTAACAAGAAACTTACCATGTGGGATAATAAACTTTGAGCTACAAGTCTTCTACATTGCATTATGCTGTTCTTTATTATCCACTATCACAACCCGTAGATGTCCATCTGCCACCACATGCATGCTCACATGAAAGCCCTTATCCAAACGCAGCACCTCCAAGCGAGGACATGCCACCAGAAGCTGCTCAACCGCCACGTCAGCAAAGCCAGCAAATAGAGAAGCTCCGAGCGGGTAGTCGTTCCACGTCAGCAGTTCCAGTAGATTCAGCTTGTGACAATAACGGGCGACGAGAGGGAGACATGCGGCTGTGAGTGCTCTCACCGACAAAGGACCCATGGCCTCTTCCATCCTTGCCGCTGCTCTTGCTGCAACGTGTGCTGCTGATTCTGATGCCCACCCATCAAACGCTGCTCCCCCTGCCACCGTCCCCCCAGCCGCCGCCGCATCTGCTGCTGCTTCCTCAAATTGCACAGACGATGCGACACCTGACGACGGCACACCTGTCCATATGTTCGCTTCTGCAGCAGTTGCCACTGATGCCGTTCGCAGTACAGATGAGGCGGTGGGGAGTGACGCAGAGGGTGCGGGGGGGCGTGGGCGGTGGTGAAGGGTGAGGGGAGCGCTGGGGACAGACGGCAGGAAGTGCAGCTGTTTGAAGAGCTTCAGATTGAGAGTGAGTAAAGAAGGGCCCACGGACTGCAGGATTACTGCCATTGTGGTATCCGAGATACCAGGGCACCCATACAGCTGCAGCTCCTGCAGCGATGAGAATGGGCAGGAAGATGGGGAGGAGGGTGGGGATAATGATAGAAATCTGGGGGAGCAGCCGGTGGGGTTCTGTGCGTGAGGCAGCCTTGGGGTTACCATGTTACATGGAGGGCGCGATAGAGAGTCAGTGGAGGACGACGGGCAGGAGAGTGATAAGGAGGAGAGGGAATGTGCGAATTGGGCGTCTGGAGAGAGAGGGCTTGACGACAACCCATGCAGGCTGCTGTGTTGACTGGCGCTTGATTGCTGCTGGTGCCGCTGCTGATGATACAGTCTCTGTTCATGTTCCTGTTCCTGTTGCTGCTGCTGCTCCTGCTCCTGGCAGTGTCGCTGCGCCAGCTGCAGCAGCAGCAGAGCCAACCCATCACGAGGCACACCAGGGCAGTTGGCAAGGCGCAGCACACGCAGCCGTGGGCAGGCAACGGCGGGAGCACGAGAGGAGGCGGCAGAGGGACCAGACTCAGATGCAGACACAGCTGCAGGAGCTGTTGGCCGTGCTAGCCGTGCTGGCAGTGCTGGCCGTGCGTTCTTCTCCTCGTGCATCTCGAAGCGCAGCTCCTCCAGGGACTCCCACACTGCGCTGTTTAATCTGAATAGGTCTTCCTCGCCTATACCACGGCAGTTCACAACTGCCAAGCCATGTAGGCCGCTTCCGCTGCAAGTGCTGCTGCTGCTGCTTCATCCCAGCCTTTTCCCCCACCAGCCTCCTTGCATCTCTCCCCAACAGCAGCGATCCATTCACTACTGCGCACGTTCATGCCCCTCTCAACGTGCAGCCACTGTAGCTGTCGGCAACCCGTCACTACGGACAAAATTCCCCGCCCGGTGAGGCATGGAACGGAGTCGAGGCGCAGGGAGGTGAGGGACGGTAGCGAGGCGAGGTGAGGCATGGCGGCGTCGGTGACGCGGCTCGTGAAGGAGAGTGACACGTGGCGCAACGGGAGTGGCTGATTGCGGGGAAAGGGGCGCCGATGCGAGGACGCGGAAAAGGCAGAAGGTGACAGGGAGGACGGAGAAGCAGATGGGGAAGAGGCGGACGGCAGGTGCGCGGAGGCGGAAATGGAGGAGTCGAGGGGAGTGGGGGAAGGGGGAATGGCCGGAGGAGGGGGAGGAGCGGGGAGAGCGGGGAGAAGAGCCAAGCCATTGGGATCACCTGAGGCGGGATTAAGAGTCGCTAGTTGATTGGCTAACAGCACTAATGCACCCACGTCATCATCCGCAAGTTGCGGGCCTTCCGCCGGCTCCCATCCAAGATAGTCCACGTGGAAAGCGGTGATTCGCGAAAAGCGACGCAGCAGCCGCGCGAGCGCCGCGCTTGCCGGGTGCAGTCCGGGGCCGACGCGGAGAGAGCGGCGGGAGAAGGCGTCTAAGCGGTGAAGGCGGCGGCAAGCGCGGGAGAGGGCGTTGCGATCGCGGGAGGAGAGGAGGGAGAGGATGAGGAGGAGGCAGTCGTCGGGTAGACTGAGGAGCAGAGACATGGCCGTAGTGTGGTGGGTGTGATGTGAATGAGTAAGCATGGCTTGCCGCACAGCGAATTGTAAATGGCGGCAAATGTGATGGATGGTTGCGTGAATTTTGGAAATGTCCCACCCGTGCACCAGCAAATTACGTATTCTCGGATGGTTGAGTTCGGTGCGCAACATCGAAAAGAGAAACTCAACATGCCGGTACAGCTGATGCTCACCCCATGCGCGCGAATTTGCCTTACGCCGGATGGACACGCTGCACCCGAGGTTGTTTCCCCAGCTTCATGCACCCACATTACAAGCGCGTCAAGCAGAAGAGACCGAAGTCAAGCAGAAGAGACTGAAGTCAAACTAGGTAACTAGGTAGCAGGGTCTTGTTTATAAGCACATGCGAAATCTTTTTAGCTAACTGCGAAATTGACGAACTTATGCGAAACACACGATACAGCTTATATGCCCCCTTCACAAGGCAACCGGGAGGGGCTCAAACAGGCATCAGGAGTACATGCAAAACCCAATATGGACAGGTGCAATGTCACACAAGCAAAAACTGTAGACAAGCATGAACGGCATACCAAGCTAAGGGCGCTTCACCTCTCAGTTCGAACAGCACGGTTGTTCGAACAGGCGAAATGTTACAGTGTTCGCCACTCCTCATATAGGTATTCGTAACGTCGCTAGTCAGAAATTTCGCGAATCTGAACAGAGCTGTCACACAGGGCACGAAGCTCTCCATTCCGCATGTTCGAACAGAGTTGTTCGAACAAAGTTGGGTTTGGTGACAGGGATTCCGCATGGACGACTGATTTGTTTGGTTAGCAGGCTTCGGGTCGTACACGAATGTTTGCGACCATTGCAAAAGTCGCCATGCAGGAGAAAGTTAATCGATAAGGACATTGTTGTTGGGAAACAACAAGGTGAGCAGTAGTAGAAGAGCACGAAGAGACATTTTGACTGGATGGGCTAAAAATGAGTCAAACTTGAAACGTAACTGAATTATTTTCTTGCGACGTTTCGCGAAGTCGCCCAACACTTGGCGACGTCGCACGTTCGAACAGGCTGTCACCTCTAGTCACGAGCTGTCACATTCACCAGGGTGTTCAAATTTGTGTTCGGATCTCGTCGGGAAACTGTTCGTACAGTGAATTCGTTACGTATGTTCGGATTCGGGCCTTCCAGCCCCGAGGTGATGCGCCCTAAGAAACAGAAACAACAGCTAGAACAAGATATGCACATGAAGGGAACAGAACAGGCCATGCGATCACATCGTCGCCGCGTCCCCTCTAAACTTTCTGCGATGTTGGGAAAGCCATGGCCACTTTAGACTCGGCCCCACTCGGCTGTTTCCACGCCGCGGTAACAGTCTTGGTGTACGTGTAAAACTGCACGCCCGCCTTGCCATAGAAATTGAGGTCCCCGGCAAAGCTGGCCCGCGAGCCGGTGAAGGAGAAGAAAGGCAGCGGCACTGGGATGGGCAGGTTGATGCCCACCTGTGGGTGCAGACAACACACGGGTACGGCAGTAGGGGAATGCAAATGAGAATGAGGGATGGGGGCTGGAGGTGGGCGGGTATGGAGCAAATGGCATGGGTGGGGTGGGGGACACATGTACCAGTATGACACTAGTTTATCACCATCCCCTCCACTCCCCAAACCGCTTCACAACTTGCCATTCTCCATCCCTTCTGTCAACCAACCGGCTTCCCTCCCTTTCCCTTCTCCCTCCACCATTCTTCCCCGCCCCTCCCTGCTCCCACATCTTCCCTCTCTCCCCTCCCTCCCCTTTTCCTCACCTGCCCGACATCAATCTCATTCTGAAACTTCCTGGCAGCGGCGCCAGATGACGTGAAAATCGCAGTGCCATTGCCGTAGGGGTTGCGGTTGACGAGAGCAATGGCGTCATCAAGCGAGTCGGCGCTCATGAGCAGCAGCACGGGGCCGAATATCTCCTCCCTGTAGCACTCCATTCCCTCCCTCACGTCTGCGAGAATGGTGGGGCCTACAAAGTTGCCGCTCTCGAATCCAGGCACCTGGCAGATGGTGCAAGAAGGGGGAAGGGATGGGAGGGGAGGAGGGCAGGAGAAGAGAGGAGCGGGAGGAGGGGAAAGGGGGGGAGGGGAGAACAAAGGGAGGCAGTGGGGAAGGAGGATGGGAAGGATGGGAGAGCAGTGGCATCATCGAGCGACTCAGCAGACATGAGCAGCAGCACGGGGCCGAATATCTCCTCCCGGTGGCACTCCATTCCCTCCCTCACGTCTGCGAGAATGGTTGGACCGACAAAGTTGCCGCTCTCAAATCCAGGCACCTGAGCAAAAAGGGGAGGAGGGCAGGAGGGCAGGCGGGCAGGAGCGAAGGAGAGAGGAGGGGAGGGGAGGGGAGGGGAGGGGAGGGGAGGGGAGGGGAGAAAGATAAGGCGAGGGGAGTGGGGAAGGCAGGAAGAAATAATCTATGTGGGAAGGATACTGAGTGAGAAGAAGCACGGTTCAACAGAAACTGCAAGATGGGATGAGAGAGTAAGAAACCGCATGTTAACGAGCAAGAAACGGCAAACTGCAGCAATTCTCTTTCCCGTCTCCCCGTCCCCTCCCACCCCTCACCTGCACGTTGCGACTCTCCAGCAGCAGGCGGGCACAATCAGCCACATTCGTGCTCCCGTAACCCCGCTGCCCTTTCCCCCATACCGTTTTGTTTCTCCACCTCTCTCCACCCATTCCCCCTCCCACCTCCCCCCCACCCAACCCCCCCCCTCCCCTCTTTCTCACCTGCACGTTGCGGCCGTCCAGCAACAGGCGGGCGCCATCAGCAACGCCACTGTCCACGAGGGAGTGAATGCGTGCCTTGGCGTCCTTGGAGATCACCGGGCCCAGGTCTGCTGCAGGGTCCGTGCCCACTGCCACTCGCAGCCGCGTCGCTGCCTCCACCAGCAGTGGCTCCCTGGCGCAAGGAGAAGCGGGGGGAGGGAGAGAAGGAAGGACAGGGGGCGGAGGGGAGAAAAGAGGGGGGATGGGGAGGCAGAAGAGGAGAGGGGAGAAAGAAAAAGGGGGAGGTACGGGAGGAAGGGATGAAAACATGGAGGCAGAGGTGGTGAGGTAAGGGGATGCGTGGATGCGTGCCTTGGCATCCCTCGACATCACCGATCCCAGGTCCGCTGCTGGGTCCGTGCCCACTGCCACTCGCAGGCGACTTTTGAGACGTCTCAAGAATCCACTACTGGGTTCGTGCCCACTTCCACTGGCAGGCGCGTTGCTGCCTCCACCAGCAGCGGCTCCCTGGTGGGCGGGGGAGCGGAGGAGAGGATGGGTTGATGGGGAGGGGAGTGTAGGAGAGGACTCAAGGAGTGTAGGAATGGAACATGGGAGGTGGTGTCGCGGGGGGTGGTGGGCACTGTTGGAAGGTGCTTGGTTTTAACGCACCTGGGCACTGATCTAATCCCTTGCATGCGTTACTTTTGAGAATTCTCATAAGTAACACCAATATTTTTGCCGCCCCTGGACACTGATCCCTCGCAGGAGCTTCTCATGTTGATCCCTCGCTAGTCACTTTCTGCTCCCACACAGTCTCTCCTCTCACTTACTCTCCCCTCACCCTCCTCTCACTCTTCCTCGCGACTCTCACCACTGCTGCGAGCCCCCAACAAACACGGCTGTGCTGATGGCCATGCAGCGCTGCCCCGCTGCCCAGACGCTCTTTGCGGCGCCTCACCTCCCACACTCTCTCTCCCACTCTCAAGGCACTCACCACTGCTGCGAGCCCCCAACAAACACGGCTGTACTGATGGCCATGCAACGTTGCCCCGCTGCCCCGAACGCCGCCCCCACCAGCGCATTCACTGCCGCCTGTGGGTCCGCGTCTGGCAACACCACTGCATGGTTCTTGGCTCCCATGTTGCACTGATGCGTGGCGGAACAGGGGAGAGTGAGTGAGAGCGAGCAAGAGCGGGAATGTGAACAAAGGTGAAAGAGCAGCAGTGATGTGTGGATCCGTGCCTTGCAATGGCACCACCACTGCGTGGTTCGTTGCTCCCATATTGCACTGATCCAGGGCACGGGTAGAGAGAAGTTAGGGGGAGAGTGAGACGGCAAGGAGGAGAACGGGAAGAAAGGTGAGGGAAAGATAGGGGATGTGTTTGACTGGATAAATGTCGCTTTTGAGAGTTCTCATAAGCGACTGGGAGGAGAAGAGGTGAAGGAGAGGTGACAGAGAGCTGTGGAAGAAGAGCTGGAGGAGAGGGGGGTTGTGGGGGTGGGGGAAATGAGCCATTTTGGTAGCACAACAGTGCATGGGATCTTCAAAATACAGAACAAAGGGAAATGTGCCCGGGAAACAAAACAGGTTCATTGGCCCCCATCTTCTCCTCCCCTACCTGAGCACTATGTTGGGAAATACGATGTGTGTGGGGGGTGGGGGGTGGGGGGTGGGGGGTGGGGGGGGGGGGGGGAGGGGGAGCGCAAACAAACGTAAGCGGTCAAACATCTCGTCACAAAATAGGAAAGAAAGAAAAAAAAAAGGTTGTGGAGCTTGGAGAATGAGCTGCGGGACAAAGAGGGGCTCGACAGGCTGCTGAAAAGGATGATAGAAGCGATACATGGATGATTGGAGGAAACGAACGAGGAGGATGCCGACGTTATTGACGCTCAGGTGTCACATTTGACAGCAGAAGCTGCGAGGCTGAAGAAGGTGGTTGAGACGCTGGAACAAACGAGCAAATGCAACACATTCCTTTCAACGTCCTCAACCGCCTTCTTCAGCCTCGCAACTTCTGTCAAATGTGACACCTGAGCATCAATCACGTCCGTAGCCTCCTTGTTCGTTTCCTCCAATCCTCCATGTTTCGCTTCTCTCATCCTCTTCAGAAGCCTGTCGAGCCCCTTTTTTTCACGCAGCTCATTCTCCAAGCTCCATGTTCTCTCCTCTTTACGTGTTCCACCCGCCTCCAGGTTTGTAGTTGTCGAGAAACTTCCTTTCCGCATCGTTTGCATTTAACCAAACTCACCTCAACTTCCTTGCCTTCTC